TAGGGTTTTACCGATCTACACATAATTGCATACATGTGTATAAATTTTCTATTTTTGATAGGCAAGTTTCCACATGTGTTATACAATCAAAATGGAAAGTTAGGAATTTAATAACCAATATGATTTATTAAAAGATTAACTATTGCATTTAACAAAATTAATGTGAGTGAATTAAATTTTCTATCACATGAATTAATTTAAATAAATAAGGGGCATGAATAACCATCAATCAATGTAAAGTTGGTTTTACATGGGCTAATATCATTATGATCAATAAATGAGATCTACAATATGTCTATAATAATAAATGAGATTTTAACATCGCATTGACAACCCAAAACATCTAGAAATCTCGTACAAATACTAAGCATAACGCTCATAACAAGGAAAAAGGTATGCCTATCCAATAATAAATAACAATTACTTACAGTAGTTGATACAAATTCTAGATACAATTGTGGTTTGTATGTGGTTTTAATCACCGACGGCAGAGACGGCCGATAATTTCCAGCGATCATAACGCCGGTGACTGCCTGTCAATCACCGGTGGCGTACCGATCGTCAAAATCGCCAGTGTTACCGGCGACCAAACCGTCGGATCACCACCAATGGACCATCGGCAACTGCCCGTAAACCACCGGTTAGATTGCGGCTGTGCTTTGATGCCGGAGTGGGGGCGAGATCTTCGGCCTGAGGGAGGTTATCAGCACCGGATTCTTACGCAGGAGGCGTGATCGTTCACGAGAGGGCGGAGGAGTGGATGCGAGTGTTTGTAGCGAGAGAGGAGAATGCAACGAAATGAAGCGGAATGCTCGGGAAGGCTAAATTTAGGGCATTTTATGGCAGTTTTTTGGCGGTTCAGACCGCCAGAAAAAATTAACTTAAAACCGGCGATAATAGCCACAGGTAAAGCGCCGGTAAAAAATAAAACTAGCAGCCTAACCACCAGTTATTAGACCGCCGCTGATTCCGGTGGCGGTTAATTAAATAACCGTCTGTTAAACCAAAGGTTATTACCGGCGATCTAACCGCCAGTTGAACAGCTGGTATTACTGGCGACTATATAACCGTCGGTACTGGTCGCCGGTAATACCTAAATTTCCTATAGTTATTTCATTTAAAATAATTTTTGCAAATAAGAATATAAAGGGCATATTAATTCAAATATGTGCATTATATTATTCATATTATTCTTCTTCTTCTTATTATTTTTTAGATGCAAGTCGAGAATTTCAACTAATAACAATAAAAAACAAACCTCAATACAATATTATAAAGTGGGATTAACATACATACCATTTTATAGCATGCTATTTACATATCTAACATTCAAACTTTATTTATTTTTTCCTACCGCCCATAGATAACTGTAATATCTAAGTATGTCACTCATATGTTTTATTTCTACTGCCCATACCACCTTATAAGTTTTAATATTTTATTCTTTGCACCCATATTTGATCTATGGATGATAGACATGAAATATTAAAATTTTAAATGTTAGATATGTAAATAACATGGTATAAAATGATATTTATTAAATACCTTATTTTAAATTTAGGAGGAAACTCCCAAATATCCACCCTAACAAAATCTGTCACAACAGCTAATAAATCATTGGCACCATTTCCTTCTCCAAACACATGACTGAATCATGTATTCAGATAAATAATCATACTCTTAAGGTCTGTTTGGAGTAATTTTTTTTAATTGCTTTATGTTTTAGGCATTAATTCATAATTTTATTTGATTATTATTATTATTATTTTTTCATTGCAATTTAGAAAATTCTTTGATGAAAAATATGTTTTACAACAGGAATAATTAAGTTGAATTTTTCTATCAATTTGTGATGTAACTCATTATAAAATCATAAATATTTTCATATGCTTCTATCATTTTTTTAATTAAAAGTATTAAAATATGTATAAGAACAACAACAATAACAACAACAAGTCTTTGTGCCACTACGTGGGGTCGGCTACATGAATCCTTTTTTATCATTGTTCTGTTAAAAGTCAAATTCTTATTTAAATCTAATAAAGAAAGATCATTTGTAATATTTTCTAACCAAGTCTTTTTAGGTCTATAAATACATGTACTCTATAAAAAATAACATTAAAATTAATTTAATTTTAATTTAAACATTTGTAATTAGAGCACTCATATTTTTAACAGTTTTGATAGCTGCTTGATTTAAATCTTAATGAATTATTTTATATTATTTTAAATAAATTATATGGAACTTCCTACATTAAAAGAACTTAAAATCAACTGGAAATTTTCATTTTGTAATTTTTATACTAAATGAAAAACAGGCAAAATCAATATATTTTTCTAATTGTTATGTAATTATTTTATTTGTTGATTAGAATTTCAATTATAATTAGTTGCTCCATTGACTTAATGTTTTTTTAATAAATATTTAATTATTATTGATACGTCATCACAAAATTAGCTTGATCGGGCACGAATCTCGAGGCAAAAAACTAGTTGAAGACTTCAAAAATTAAAATTCGAGAGCATCCAAACTCCGATTTCAACGAGCTTACAGTCAAACTGAGCGTCTCGGAAATACGAACCCAACGACACCAAGATTGACCCAATCCGAGCCCAAATGGGTCCGAATCATGGACCCGAAGTGCTGTCAAATCTCTATCGCCACGTACTTTCTAGCCCGCAACAATTATACTTATTTATAAGTTGTAAGCTATTCATATTTTGATTTACTCTCAAATAAATTCAATTAATATTGTTGATATTTTTTTTAGAACTTTTGAGTCAATTAAAATCAAACTCTTATAAGTTTTTTTTACAAAATAACTAATTATCATTGAATAAATATTCAATAATTAAGTCATCCTTGTTATAATTATATCATTTACTCTCAAATGATTCAAATATTATTTTTAATTAAATGGAAAAAGTTGACTAAATTTATCGGATGGCGATAAATTTTCTCTTTGTAATTAAATGACTTTTTGGGAAATCTGTTAGAAGAAGAACTGTTAGAAATTTATCCAAGTTGATGAGGCTGAAGGTAGTTAAGGAGCTGAATTTTTTGGGAACAAAGATTGCTTTGAGAAGACTTGTAAGTTCAGATTTTAATAATTTGATTGAAAAAGCTGTTGGAAGACTTAACATGTGGGGCAATACATTTATTTCACATGCTAGAAAGTTAGTATTGCTAAATGCGTCTTTTCTTTCTTTACCTATTTTTCTAGCTACTCACTCCCTTGTTCCTTTGGGAGTTTTGAATGAGTTAGATAAAATGTGCAGAAATTTTTTATGGAATAAGAAATGCAGTTTTGGAATCCATTTTGTTGCTTGGGATATATTATGTAAACCGAAAAGTAAAGGAGGTAGAGGGGTGCAATCGGTGCTGGGGAAGAATAGGCCCTTTGAGGGCAAAATTTGCTCTTAATTTCATTACAAATCCATCATCTCTTCTAAACAGGACATTAATTTCTAAATATGATTTTGATCTTTGGAGTGGTGGGAGAAGATGCAATTACTCATCAACGTGGAAAATTGTGGTGAATGGAGCTAAATTTTTACATCCTTTAATGAGATGAAGAATTTGTAACAGACAAAAGGTGAACACTTCAGGTGATGTATGGATTTTGGATAAATGTATTGATAAATAGCCAACTTTTACTTCAGTTTTGGACCATGACTCCTCTACACTTTCTGTGTTTATTTATAATGGAGAATGGAATGTAGAGAAACTTAAACAATGCTTCGAATTGCAGCTTGTAGAGTTAATTCGTTTGATTCCAATTTATTCTGAAGCGGATAAAGATCAATTGGAAATGACTATGAAATGCTCAGGGAAAACTGTTGCAGCTTTAGCCTTTGAAAATTTTTTTGAAGAGGATAAGGAAGATCTTTACTGGAATTGGATAAAGAAAATAAAATTAAGGCCACAAGTTGAACTATTTTGATGGCGTATGTGCAAAAATTTCATTCCATCAAACTGGTATCTGCAATACAGGAGAATAATTGATTATGCTGGCTGCCCGCGAAGATGTGAAGGTGTTGAAAATAATGAACAAGTAGCTGTGAATTGTGCAATGATCAATACAGTCCATCAAAAGCTTGCTGCTTGGAATTTCCTATTGCCTGTTTTCAACTCTCTAGATGAATGTTTAAATGTATTGCGTAAGCTTGCGGTAATGAATCCATTCGTTGGGAATCTTTACTGCTATGTAGTATATTTTTGTTGGAAAAGCAGGAATAAAATTGTTCATGGAGGTCATGAAGATTCTTGCTCATTCATTGCAGCTAGTGATTTAAGCTATACATTTGGATCTTTTCAAGACAATCCGATTAGGGAGAACTAGGAAGCTAATCAGCATGAAATGCTGGGTCATTCATCTTGGCTTCCTCCACCTCCTGGTTGGATTAAGATCAACGACGATGCTTCTCTGAGTGTCAATAATATAACTAGGGTAGAGGGAGTATTCAAAGACTATAATGGACGTACGCTTCTTTGGGGCATTTGGATTCAGCTGTATCCATTGGGATATTGCAAAAGTTGAGATATTATCCGTTCTTTCTTTGAGGAATTATGTTCAAGACTGGATGTTTGATGCTCAGGGGATTATGATTGATGGAGATAATCAAAATGTTATATTGCTTTTTTAGAAGGTTCTTCAAAAAAAATTTATTTCAGAAGAATTTCTAAATCCTAAAGATTTAGATTTTCTTAAAGGCTTTAAACAAGTTCTTTTTCATTTTTCTAGAAGGGAATGTAATAAGTTAGCTGATTTATGCGCTAACTTTGCTCTTTTTTCTGAATTTTTTTGGCAAGATGCTAGTGTTATTAATATTCCTACTTTTCTTGAATTGTTGAAGGAGAAATCTATTTGTGCTTAGTAGTCTGAATAAATTGCTCTTATGCATTTTCTAAAAAAAAAAATTAAATGACTTAATATTTAATATAATAAAACAAATTTCTTTTCACGTAAAACGTATTTTTTATAATGGAAGTCATTTTCCGGCAGTCCGGTCGGTCGTCCTCTTTTCTGCGAACTTTTTTCGGCCTCTCTCTCTCTGTCTTGTGCGCTCGCTTGGTCATGAACACGAGAAATCCCAAGGCCATTTAAGTCGAAGCAGCTATCGCCTCCATCTCAAGCCACGGTTTTAAGTATTGCTCAGGTTAGCTGGAGCGGGCGGCGGTTTTGGGCGGGCAGGAGGCGGACTTTGGCCTATCGATTAAGCTCGCCATCGAACCCGTGTTCTCGGGGCGGTGGAGGGGGCTTTATTGGCTATCTCGACTCCTGGAGGATTTAATGAGACAGGCTATGGAAGGATCATTCTGCACGCGTTTTATTGATTAGGGTACTTTTCTTCTGATATCGAAATACATTTATGGTAGTTATTTTGTGCATTTTTATGTTTCGCTGTCCTTAGATTCTATGCTTGTAAGGGCGGATCTTGGCAGGGTTGGGGCACCGGGGCATGTTTTATGTCCGGTTTGACCGCACGGACTTATACAATTGGGTGACAACCTGATTCTCAATTTCTCTTTATTTATATATGATCATTGAAATATTTAGATTAAAAAAAAAATGATAGTCAGTTTGTAGAGGGAGAAAATGTAACGATATAGATAGACCAGAAGGTATTGTCGATGTTGATGTTTTGCCTACTTGCAATTATAACAGTCTAAAAGATTTTCAGATGACAAAACATAAATTTATTATATCGACTCCATTCATAAATGTTCTTAGATTTTCCTCATCTTATTCACTTTCTTATATTATTACATATCAAGAAACTAAATGCCAACCTGGATGCTTATGAAGCCTCGTACTTTTGAGAAGAACCATCAGAAAAAAAACCCATAGAATTGCTATTAGTTATATAAGCTTTAGGGCTCATATATTTAAGCACCCAATCCTGTAATCCAAAGTGATGCAATCCGAATTTAATTGTTTGTGAAGATGTTTTATTCTATCTAAACTATAAAATTTTGGGAAGTTGCTCAAATGATAAGGGGATTAAAGAAGTTAAATTGTGCTTTTGAAAGAAGATTAATAAAGAAAGTACCCAGTCATTCAATTTGGAATGATTATGCAGTATTTGTGAACTGATTTAATGAATGAATTTACTAATAAAATCATATCGATATGCATATGATTACTGAAATTCAGGATTGCTATAATGAAGCACTAACCAATGTTTAAATTACCTAAGATAGTTACTAAGAAATAAATGAAGTGCTTAGCCAAGGATATTAAAAACGATAATTAAATATACAATTTAAAATTTCATTATTCATTTTTTTGGAGACTTATGCCAATGCTGATAAACAAATTGCTAGGTTTTTCCTTAATAATAAGCATTTTGGTGCACTGTACATTAGAATAATTGTAATAAATGATATTTAAAATCATAAATAATGTATATAAATTTCTAGTTCACAAACTTGGTGCATAATTGTTCATAAAAAAAGAAAAAAGAGACTGAGAAGTTTTAAAATATAAGGGTCTCTAAACATTAAGTATAGATAACAAAGAAACTAATAAAATAGACAATAATTTCTTAGAAACTCCTAAATTTCATTGAAGTTTAGACTGTGCACTCTAAAAATCTAGTAGCTTGAATGCTTTCCACATCAAGGACCTTTGAATTCCATAATAGCAATTGGCCAATAATATTCCAAAATGGCATTTATGAAGACCTTGAGAATAATTGTTAGATTTTTTTTTTATTACGTTCATGTATGGACACAAATTTGAAAGCATGGAGCTTCTAATTGCCGAATGAATTTTAGTTGTAATGTTATGATGTAATGACTAGCTTTAGAATTTCTCATTAGTCATTACATGTATGTTAGGATCTTCATCACTATCCACGACTAATCTTCGATGTGCATGTGTACTGAGATTGCTGATATCTTGAAAGAGACATTATTTGGAGTGTAGTAGTCACATAGGAGGAAGAGCACTCGCCCATTAGGTTTTGCAACTAGGTTAATTCTGGTCAAATTTAAGGAAATATTCATAAGAATTCTCAAAAAGATGCATTTAATATCAAAAGTTTGCTCCTATGCAGCTTCTACTTTCTCATAAGCTTCAATCGATGTCTTGTTTTTAACCATTTTGAATTTCATAGATGTATGCACTTGGCCCTTTCCCTTTAGCATGCGAATTTATCTTGATCATGATCGACTGCATTGCAAAGTGGACTGAAGCCAAAGCACTCACAAAGTATGCTTCAATAGTTATTCATAATTTTATCTGGACCATAGAACCTTACATTGGATACTCATACCCACACCTACCCATGTACCCACCCATACCTAATGGGTATGGGTGGGTATGGGTATGCCCATGGCCTCGTGGGTGGTTGTGGGTGGATACTCATCATCGGGGGATAAAACGATTTATATTGCTAATCATTGTATGTCGTATATTAGCGTAATCCTCACTACGCAGTGCACAACCCTGAACTGTGCTACGACCACGGTAAATTCTAATATGCGGCTTGAAAGTTTGTTGTCAAAGCAAAGGGTAACATGCCTCAAGACCATCAATTCATGGCAGAGTGCTTTCAGAAAATGTGGAAAGTGGGTGGGTATGGCATCCCAAAAGTCACTATGGGTGGGCGTATGTATCCAATGGGTACTCAACCAGGATCCCATTTAGGGCTTTTGTTGGGCCAATATCATATGTCAATATGGGCTTCTAATGGTAGCCATAATCATCACTGACAATGTTACTTGGTTTACTGACTAGAAAGTAAAAGAATTTTCTCTCGACTTTGGAATTCAACTTAAATTTTCTCCCTACATCATCACACAACCAACAATTAAGCAGAGATTGCTAGCAAATTAATTTTGAACATTCTATGGAAGTAAATAGAAGGCATCAAAGGCAAATGGGTTGAAATGCTACTCACTACTCCTAGGATTTATGAATTGCACCTACCTCCATGGGGCGTATTCCCTTCATACTTTTTCATGACTCTGACAATCTTCTACCAGTTGAGTATAACTTACACAAACTATGAGTTGTTATTGCATCAAATTTCAGAAAAGGGAAATTCAACAATCAAAGAGGCTTTATGAACTTGTCTCAAACTATTTGAAGCACTAAAAATATAGGCTCCCTTCTATTAAGAAGTGAGAAAGAGAGTTATCAATTATTATGACATCAAATTTTGTGAAAGAGACCTTTGAATGGTCGAAGTAGTTGCTCAAAAATCTATCTCAGGAAAACTTTGATCCACTTGGAGGAACTTTACATCATCAAAGAACAAGATGTCTCTACAACATACAAACTTCAAACATATGTGGGGAAGTTCATCATAAGAACATAGAGTTGTGAGGATTTGAAAATATTCTACCCTTATTGAATAGGAAGAGTATTTTGAAAAAAACTTGTAAATTGTATTTCAATCAATAAATGATAAGAAATTAACTATTTGAGTTGCTTATATTTTATTTTCCTTAAGTAGAAATTACTACTTAAAAAGGTAATTTAGCATGATCTTATTATGTGCGGAATGTGCTTGAGTAGCTCATCTTGAGAACTTAACAACTTGAACCACTCGAGGAACTGTAGCAAGTTAGATCTAATGGTCAACTTTTGTTTTCTTTCCTTGAAGTGCACAACTTCAATGAGAAATTTGAGAAGTTAATAATATAGATAAAATTGAAGGAACTTTTTTCATACCCTCAACTTGTTAAGCTAGTGACTAACTTACTATGGTAGTTGACTTATATTGTCACAGCTAATGGTTAAGTCATTGTTTGAGATTACTCCCTAAGTGCTACAACCTATAGATAGATGGATAGGCCCTACTTGATGAAGTAGCCCAATTTTAAACTTAAAAACATGAGTTGTATTCAAGGAGAAAAGAAAATTATTGAACTTTTTGTTAGTATCATATTCATTTAGAGATTTCAAATCACAAAGCCACAAATCGCCAACATCCACAAGTCTTATAAGTTGCACTAGACATGATTTATTTATCATGCCTACAATCACTAGTCTTTTATTCACTTTACATAAGCTCACATGTTGAATGCCTACACGTAATCATTATATGTAACACCCCATAGTATCCTTTTAACGGTACATGGAGTATTACCAACATAGACCTTTCATTAGTCGATCATACAATACTTTTGAATATTTGATAATCTTTATAAAACATCAAACATTTCAGTTTTCATACATTTCATCAAACGAAAGCATCTAATAACTTTAAATTTCAACATAAGTTACTTACAGAGCCACTATAAAATCCAAAATAATACATCACTGGGAAGTTTACATATCTCAGGTTTAGACTTCAAACAAAGATAAATACTAACATAACATAACATATGAAATATTTGACAAATTAATATGCTATGATCTTTTCCTTGCCCTTTCCTGTAACAACAACCAGAAAAAAAATTTCTGGTGAGCTATGAGGCTCCATAAGCTATGCAATAAAAAAATATTTAACTTGCATGATTATAAAATTCAGATCATTAAAACATAAATAAAAGTTAAACTGCTTGAGAAAATTTCATAAAAATCTCATTTGACATTAACCTTTATTTTCTCTTAACTCCATACTGAATATCAATTTTTACTCATTAAAAGATTTGATTACTATTTTATAAACATATTCAATGGAGTTAAGGTAAACCTGATATTATCGCTATTGAATAATATAGAGGTCTCTTTTGCCTCTTTAGGGATCTTTTTTGTCCCACCTTCTATACAGGTCACATTTCTTTGGGGCAATTTGGGGCTCCTTTTGCCCCACTTACAATGTAGTTTCATATTTGAGAATCCTTTTGCCCCAACTACACTTGTAAGTCATACATCATATATAGCCAAACTTTAATTTAAATTGATATTCTATACACATTATGTTTTTAGATTTCATACTTTTCACATGCTTCCATACGGATAATTTTGTTGTCATTTGTATACAAAGTATATATGTATACAATATGTAATTGAATTGACATCATTATAAACCATCATCAATTAGGAAAACATTTAGATGAACATATTAAGCATTATTTTAAACTCACATGCTAAATTTATGTGATTGGTTATTTATACTTGAAAACTTAGATAAAAACAACATTTCTATGCATTAAGCTAAATTAATACCATTTACTCTAATGTATTCCAAATTAACTTTCATGCTTATAAATGAAAGTCATCATATTTGAAATATAATTGCATTACTTACTTTCTTGCCGAGTCATCGCCTCCAATTCGCTACTACGAACTCTTCTACGATTGTAAGTCACCCCAAAACTTTCTCTTTGCATGTATGTATCTGAAGAATCCAAACCTTTCAATTGTATGCACTTAGAATTTTTA